TTTTCTCACTTGTCCGCTTTCTGAGAATTCCGGTCTTCAGTGAGTCTTCCGATTCTTAGCTGACAAATCCGGATGAGTCATTTTCAGACTTCCGGGTGAGAAAGAGATCCGCGCTAGTCTTCCGATTTGGATGACTTAGCCTTCAGCGGGTTGTAGCGAGACATCCGGTTCTTATGTAGTCTTCTGGATCTGAGGATTTTCATCTTGATTGAGAAATCCTTACTTGTCTCTGACATTTCCGAACAATATATCCAATTTCCATATCACTGAATTTGATTAAGTCTTCAGGCATCAAAACGCTTAAAAAAATATCACAGCTTTTATTGGAAATCTCAAGAGCTCGGTTTTGACAATATTTCTAAAAAGAAAAATTACATTGAATAATGGGGGAGACCTAAAGTCCCTAATACATTCTAAATACATCATCATCAAAATCTATAATATTTTTCCCAACAATTGACTCCTCACAGAATGCCTGTTTGGAAAAGGAAAGTCCATCTTCCATAATCTCCTTCTGAGTATCTAGGATGTTGTCCTCTTCCTTCATAATGTGATGTATAAGGAGTTTCTTTCGTTTTCCTTTTACAAAGTTATGAAAGAAACTGGTGTTGGCCTCTCCCTGTTTGATCCAATTGATGTTTGCTTTTTGTCTCCAGAATGAGTCTATGTTCTTCACGCATCTATTATGCTTTGCTTTCATTAAATTAAGTGAGGAAAGATTATCTGGGGAAGGGTCTGATGCAAAAAGAGTTTCTGCTTCAAGGAGGTCCTTTTCACTTGATTCAACTACCTTAAATATATATGTTACCATGCTTGTTGTAGCTCCATTCTTTAAGGTCTTTGCTGAGCTCCACCAGCTTGATCATAAGACCCCTCATACCTCTACCATGGAAGATGTTTTCCCAGTTGCTTCTGACTCTATTGAGAAGGTCATTGTCTTCAACACAAAAGTTCAAGAACTTGAACTGTTTATTAATAGAGTGATTAGGGGCAAGGGTTTTGAACAGGAGAGGACAATGGTCGGATTCCCCTCTAGGAAGGTGGGCCAACGAATGAAGGGTGAAGAAGTTGTCCAAGCTGTCATTAAATAAAATCTTATCTAGCTGTCTCCAGACACGTCCATTGGATCTAATCCCTGTCCAAGTGATGGGGGGCCGGTGAATGAACTTTCTTGAAGTTCACTATCCAGAATACATTGTTGAAATCTCCCAATTTCTCTAAGGTTTGGATCACTTTTCCCTTTGTGCTGATCAGCTGCAGAGATAGCATTAAAATCACCACCAAGAACCCATGGTTTTGAACCAACCTTTTTAGCAAATTCCACAATATCTGAAAAAAGTAAGCTTCGGTTGCCTTCATCATGAGCTCCATAAACACCTGAGAGATAGATATAAGCATTGGAGTTATTGAGTTTGAACAGACAGTGAAGCATCTGTCCATTATCTTCGCTGGAAATGAGGCTAAAAGAATTTGCTTTCCAGGCCACCCATATTTTATTAGATGAGCTAGCAAGGATATGGTCCATTCCCAGCCTAAATTTATAAAAATCCATCTTCTTTTGATGAACAATTGGTTCTATAATGAATACAACATCAATGTTGTGAGTTTTAATGAGAAGAGAAAGCCTCTGAACTCGAGAGTCAATCCCATAGACATTCCAAAAGATTGATTTAATCATGGTTTTCTTGGGTAGAATTCATATGAAGTCTGGACCTGGTCTGACTAGCTATAAAACTGTTGTCTGGAGTATTTGCCTTGTTGTTTCTTAGTTGCACTTCACTGTCTGAGAGTGATCCACTGTACTCCTCTTCAAAATGATGATGGTCTTCGTTTAATTGTTGGGAGGATTCTAGTGTGTCTTGAGCCATGTCTTTTCCACCCTCATTGTTCTCCTGCGGGTTAATGCCCTGAGCACTTGAAAGATTCAAAGTTTCTACAGTAGCATCATTGTTATTTTCCTGGTTAGCTCCAGCATCTGTAACCATCCTTTCCTCTACAAAGTTATGGACTTCTGGAATTGTAACAGATCCTTTAGCTTGAATTATAGTACCCTCCTCCTCTGTTCTATGGACTTCAGATGATGATGATGAACCTATCACTTTGGAGGCTTGATATTTAGCCCTCTCCTCCTCAGTTTCAGTTGATGGCTTAGTAGCATCCTTATCGCCGTGAACTTCAGGTGATGATGATGTACATATCAGCTTGGAAGCTTGATTTATGGCCCTCTCCTCCTCAGTTTCAGGTGATGGTTTATCACCCTGTGAGTTTGAGGGTCCTGCCTTTGAGTTTTCTCCACCACTAGTGCCCAATTTAGTTCCTTTTCTCTTCACAACCTGCCATTCCTCCTTGGCATTCTCTTTGTGATTAGCAGCTGTCCTCTCCCAAGTGTTCTTTCCTGTCACTTTTTTGTTCAATGAAACCTTACATTCGCTCAGGGAGTGACCTGTTTTCTTGCACTTAGAGCAAAATGCCTTAAGATCTTCATAAATAACCTCCTGGAATACATGCCTGTCTCCATCCAGAATGTGGATCTTTCTTGGATTCTCTTTGGACAGATCAAGTTCTACACAAACCCGGGCCAGTGAGGGCCTATTAAAGGTAGCTGTTGCAGTGTCTATGGTCATAGGCATACCTATCATTTTTGCAATTGAGAACAGAGCTGATTTATGATGCAAATGGATTGGCAAACCAGGGAGTGAAATCCAGGTTGGCACAATAGGGGGGAGATTAGATGGATCAAAATCATGAGTCCATTTAAAGATCTTCATCACAAACCCTTTATATACCAATACCTTCTCATGAAAAGTCGATTATAATCCCTTTCTTTGGCAAAGTTAATGAGCACGCATCTTTCATCAAGGAATCCCACCTGAAATTGATCTTCGAATCCAATTGATTCCAGGGTAGCATTAACTGTGAGGAAAGATGGTCTTCCATCACTGAATACTCCCACTAGCGCGAATTGAAACTTGGAGGATAGGAGGTCAACCTCTTCACAACATCTGTACAGTACTACCCATGTTTCCTGCATTCTGTTATATATATATATATATATATATATATATATATATATATATATATATATATATATATATATATATATATATATATATATATATATATATATATATATATATATATATATATATATATATATATATATATATATATATATATATGATCATGGGCTTAGGGTTTGTAGAGAGAGAGGGAGACGCCACCCACCGGCGACGAAATTGGGATGGCGGATGGAGATGGTCTCAACATCGTCAACGATGGAGAGACGGAAGGTTTCAAAGGCCAAATCACGCTACGAGGAAGAGCGATTTCAATCGCGATTATTGGGGGAGGGACAGAGACAATTCATTCAAAGGCAAATACTGCGGTAAGGGTATCAGAGGACCGGTGATTAAAGAAAAGGGGATGATCGCGATTGCAATTGAAAGCAAGGAATTCATTATCGCAGCTACATACACCATCACTATCTCCGAGAGAAAAAATGGTAAGATCCACCAAATATCAATCTCTAAATCTTCTGCAATTTGGCTAGCTGAAACTTTAAACCACCCTCCTCTGGCAAGGGTTGGGTGGGCTGTATCAAGATTTGAGGGGTCTTTCGTAACTAAATTTCAATGGGATTCCAATAGATATGGAAACTATGTTAGAGTTACTGCAGGACAAGAGGGTAGGGTCGGAAGTATCTTCATACCTACTGGACCCAACTCAGAAGGCATTTTTCTCCTTGTCAAAGCCATCACTGATGCTATAAATCTTAGAGGGGATAATGCATATATCCCAGGAGAAGAAAGGGTTGACAAGGAACAAAAAGGGTTTGAGGAGCCTTCTTCAATGCTAAATATGTATGGAAAAAAGGTAGAAACAACAGAAGAAGGAATAACTAAGAAAGGTGAAGATATGGAAATGAGGAAGCCTTCAATTTCTTCTGAGCTGTTAGACTTAGATATACAGGAAGCAAATATGGTAGGGGACGGATCAGATAAGGGCCAGAAACAGCAACAAGAGGGCAGTGAAGAAGATCAAACAGAAAAACTTTTCCTACCAGTCTTTCAAGCATACTTTGATGCTCTCTTTAAAGCAGCGGAGAACCAAATTAAAGAGGCATTGGCGAAGAAAGAGTTATTGGATAATCTCAAAAAGGGATTGCTTCCCAATCAACATGGAAAAGCTTTGAGGGCAACAAGGGAAACAATTAGAAGCATGGACATGGTTACCATGGTAAACTTTGAAGGAGCCAAATATCCTGTATTCATTTCGTACTCCAATGCAGATAAGGAGACAGTGGCAGAGTTCTTATCAGGTGAACCACAGGAGAATTGAATTAACTACTAAGAGTTGAGTCTTATATGGTGACCCATTTGGGGATAGGTTTGTTGTTTAACTTAGGTTATAATCACTTTGCCTGGGTTTCCACTTCTTTTACGCTATTCGGATTATGTTTTTCGTTTGAATAGACACTTAAATCCAGGGTTTTTTTTGTCTGATTGTCTTGGGCTTTGGGTTCGGGTTTTCTATTAATTAAAAGTGGTTTAGGAAGTAGTCTCTTTGCTGCAGTTCGGTGTTATATATGGGGTCATATGGTTTCAATCCCAAACGTTAGGGACATTTGGTGTTGGTTTTGTGGTTTCTATCTTTGGCAACTATGCTTGGTTGTGGACTCTCTAGATTATGGGAAGGCAGACTCTTTGGGCTGAATAGTGATCATTTCCGAAGAGGAAGAAGACTGGGAGGAGTATATTCTGGCTAAACAGGTAGCTTGGCTGTGGGTTATTGGCTTATAGGAGGTGTCTTCTGGATAGAAAGTTTCAAAGGGAGAAGTCAATTATGGGTTGTAGTAATAGCCATATCACTACAAGAAAATATGCATTTTGCCACACTTATTTTGCAACACATAACTATGTGTCTCAAAAATTTAATGTGTATTACATTTTTTCATATATATATGTGTTGCCATGAAAAATCTCACACGGGCCCAATACATAGCCCAAACTCATACATGCATAAGTAACACAACCAAAAATTTACTATTCCAATTTTGATCGTATATGAGATTTACAAAGAGACTTCTATCACGCATCAAATTCTTCATCTCATATGCGAGAACCAAGAGGGAGATGACGCAGAGGCTAGGGTTTGTAACCTCAGGTCCCAACCTCGGATCTCCGATCGCGATTCAAAGTAGTAGGCATATGTGAGAATCTGGCGGAGATGAAAAAAAAACGAAGACTGAGCACGTTATTCGCGACGCCGTCACCTACACTGAGCACGCTCGCCGGAAGATTGTAACCGTCATAGTGGTCGTCGTCTAGGCTCTCAAGAGATAGGCCGCACCCTGTACGGCTTCACCGGCTAAGGTTTGAAGTTCTAGATTTCTTTTATTTTAGGCATTTCGTTTCTTCTTTTAATTGATGTAAATTTTGGTAATATTGTTCTTTGTTAAATTCTCCAAAATGGATATTCTTTTTAAATCAATTATCATGTCTTTGTCAAACAATTCGGATCACAAAATTTGAAATGAAAATTTGGATTTCTAAAAGAAAATTTATCTATTTGCTCTCCTTTTTTTTGTTATGAAGAATTCATTATTCTTCCAAATGCATTTTCATTGACATGATGTGAATTCCAGAGTGGCGTGTGCTGCAAAACTGATGCAAGAAGACTTACATTCTGTTCTGCCATTACCTAAGTCTGTATTTTCTGGTAAATGTCATTAAAAAACTTTTCCCTTGCATAAGTTTATTGGTTTTTTGATGAAGCGATTATTGGATGTTATCTAGTTCAAAATTTATTGGCATCTCAATGCGTGTAGGAGGTGTAGGGACTAGTATTACTTATCATATTTTATGCTATATAAATTTGCCTTGCTCACTAACTTGAACATATAGTAGTCTGTTTGATTTGCAGTACTCTTGAATATGAAATATTTGTGGATTAAGAGGATTCTGCAGATATAGTCCTTGCAACTTTATAACTTGGTTTGGGACTACGAATTAAGTGGTCAATTAATTGGTTTTGGACTATGAATTTTTAGACCTTACATCTTTATGTTATGACATCCTTCTACTTTTCTCACATAGTTAATTTGTTTGACATATTTTTAGAGATTTATACTTACTTTTTCCAACTTGGTGCTTTGTTTTTTGTTTTCTTTGCCTCTTTGGTTAGGGATTGTGTTCTAATATATTATTTTGTTTTGTTGATACAAATTGTAGGTAAGTCAAAAACTTCAAGCTAATAGCCAAGAAAGGTAAAGTTCTTTTTTTGTGCTAATTAAACTTTATCGCTTCTTACTATAAACTTTTTTTTGGTCTTAAATTTCACTATTTTCCTCTCTATTGGGCACCATTGGCACAAAAATGCTTTCTTTGCTAGTCATTGTATTATTTGTATATGCATCTTGAATCATTTTTTTTTGTTTTTGCGGATTGCTCCTATCTTGGAGTCTTTTAGCATTTCCTTCTTTGTAAAGTCTCACTTTGAAGGAGTATAATGTGAAAAGTACTTTCAAATCACTTGAAAGAAGCAAATGAGGTACTCATACAGGACTAGGCTAAAATCAATTATGTGTTTTGTTTTGCAACTTCACTGAGGTGCATATGACGTTGCTCATGTTCTAATGCTTTCTCCTTTTATTGCATATTAGATTGTAATGCCGCTGGATTTCATTTCAGCTCAATATGTTGTGGATGGGATCTGCAAACACTGGAAAGGGTTGTACGTGAGGGAGACTTGATCTTAGATGGAGATACAGTTCTGATGATTGATTTTTCGTTAGTTAATTATTCATTTCCATTGTTGTAGTTTTGCCTTAGTGACATCGTGAGTGATGATGGGTTGTACTTTTATTGCACTTTACTTTCTTTTCATTAATAAAACAATTTATATTCACAAAAATAAGAATTTAATTATTCTATAATATTGTTATTTATCTTTAATAATACATTCTATATTGGGGTAAAAAAAACATTCTATACTAATTATAGTTTTTTTTAAACAATTAAAAATTGCCGCATTTACATGTGCGGTGCGTTGGAAACACTTACAAATGTGGCAAATGAAAAGATTAACAACACTTATAAGTGTGCTTAATGTAGTAATTTGCCACACTTATTTTATGTGTGGCAACATTTTCCCCACATTCCCCGCCACCACACTTGCACATGTGTGGCGAACACTCTTTCCCGCACTTATATGTGTTGCGAATAGCAAGTTTAAGTGTGGCAAAAGCCACATTTTCTTGTAGTGATATCCTTGTCCTTTTGCTTTTAGTACTGTTTCTTTTGGCTTGTAATCTGTGGTTTATTTTGGCCATTTGTTGGGGACGGCCACCCCCACCTCATGTACTTTTCTTCTTTTATGAATAAAAATATAATTTTATATATATATATATATATATATATATATATATATATATATATATATATATATATATATATATATATAAA